AGAAAACCCCCCCCCTTGGCGCCCCCTGCCGCTACGGCGGCCGCTATGAGTGTAGCTCTTCCCCCCACTCCTGCCGAGCTCCGCTTATCGGTGACTGTACGAACGGAGCAACAGCGCGCAGCAAGAAAGTGTAGTTTCGGGAGTATATTTAATATTATAGGTGACAAAAACAGTTTTTTTTACACAAACACACAGACTCTCCCTCTCTCTCTCTCTCACACACACACACACATATTTTTGCCTTACTCCATGCAGGACAGACAACTGCACAATTTTCTTCGCGCCACTGGAAAGAGGCCACGTTGTTTAATTTTATTTTATTTTAGCACAATTAAACTATTATTAATAAATATTCCGCTGGTCTGGTTAAAACTCTTTTAGTCAGTACACTTGTAAACGCAGTTCTGCATCAAAGTGAACTAAGTGAGTAGTTGAACTTTGTGGTTAGAAAGGTTATAGTGTGTGTGTGTGTGTGTGTAGGTATGTGTGGGGCTCTGTTTACACAGTCTCAGTGTGACCACACTGTGCTGCCTTTTGTGGAACAGAAATCATTCCATTTTAAGGCGATGACAAGTTTTTATTGAGGATTAGGTATACTTATGGTAAAGGCTACGGAGTCTCCAGGAAATTAGTTCAGCTGCAGCTTTAGGTCACGTGATGTTGATACATCTAATTAATCCCCTTTTTTTCTTGTCCTCGGCCCAAAAACAACAAGTCTAAGACTCACCTCTTATTCATCCCTGGCTTTTATGCTTGGACCCGAGAGTAGTTGTTACAGAGAAGAGCTGTTTCTTCTTCTCAGATCGCAGTTCAGGTCTTTCTATAGGGGTGATCCAGAATCAAGGTCAGTGTGATGACTTCAAGACATGTTCAAATGATAACAGCTTAGTATGAATGGACGATTGTAAATGGGGAACAGTAAGGCATTCACTTGAAGATGGTTTGTGTATCGTATTTCTAATTATTTTTATTTTTATATATTTGTCATATATTTTATAAAAAAATGTATCTTTAACCACTGACATGTCTATTTATAATATCTAAAAAGTAGGGAGAAAAAGCAAAAATGTCAGGTTTAAAAAATTATTAAATTAAATGATTATTAGATAAATAGATTTGTTACAGTCTTTACACAATATTATACACATTTTACACAAATAATGTAGTATTACATAAAATATTTGTTGGTGTTTTCTATTATTTTCATACTCCTTTTTTGTTATATTAAGGTAGGTAATAATTTGAACAGGGTGTTTACTCTGTGAATGAACTGAATGAGTAAATATAATTAAACCAAAGCTGTTCTTCCTGTTTATTAAATATGTTGCAGACCACACACTAAAGGCACATTCATTGTTAGAAGGCTTCAAGGTGTGGTAATAAAAAAAAAAGACCATCACAGACATGAGCATCTGCTGCTGCTTCCGCTGCCTAAATTAAACTGCTTTATAATCAGGCAGGGTGAGGACGGCCCTGAGGCTCCTCAGTTTCCTTATATCGGGGGTCTTACTTGAGGATCAACTTTCATGCAAGCACTCCCAAAGAAGGATGTTTCTTTGTTCCACACATACAGCCCCTCTCTCTCTCTCTCTCTCTCTCTCTCTCTTTCTCTCTCTCTCTCTCTTCCTCTCTGGCTACTGATATGAAGGGATGTGATTATGAAAGATCCTTCACACACATCACGTGCTGCCCAGACACACACAAGGCCCCACACACTGTGAAAGCACAGAAACAGTGCATTTCCACCTCGGCTGTGTGGACCGGTTGTCAGTTGGTGGCTTTGCCCTCATCATCATATGATAACTATCATACAGTTCCACCGTGACAAACTCAGAGTTAACTGAAAATGGTAGAGCTGGGTTTGAGCGCATGTTGTTGTTAGAATGTAGCTGATGTGTGTGGCAGTGAGAAAAGGTTTGTGTGGAATGAGTACAATGTCGACCACAAAAGGAGCACAGAAGAAAGTGTCGATCTCCACCTGACTCAGAGCCCATCGCAGGGCGAGAGACAAGGCAAAGGCGTGTGTGTCTCCGTCTGAAGCTGCGGAGAGAGAGAGAGAGAGCGAGAGAGAGCGAGAGAGAGAGACAGAGAGAGAGGAAGAGAGAGTGAGAGAGAGAGAGAGAGAGCGAGAGCGAGGCATGTGAAAACTGCCGTGGTTAGCAGCCTCCCTCAACAGCACAAACCCGGTTGCCAATCAGAATGAATTATTTTGTGGTGAATCACCCCGCCGCCTGTTTCCTTCAGGTAGAAACAAATACTGATGCCGCCCAGTCTGATTTCTTTTCCTACTGGTTCTGTCACCCCTTATATTGATTGGCTCCTGGACTTTCAACTAGAACCCCTCTTTTATCAAACCCACCCACCCTTTTCTTTCCACCGCTGTTTCTCCTTTTGTCCACAGCATCCACCTCGTCCCCTTTTATGTGTGCTCATAGTTGAGCAGTGATGAAATCTGGGGGTCCCTGTGGCAACAGGCGAGGACATAGCCGCATGCACGAGCGTGCGTGTGCGTAGTTTCCAGGGGCAGGACAGCACAGGCAGCAGGCTGATCCATACTAATGTTCATTGATAGGAAAATCAATGGTGCATTGATCCAAGACTTGGCTCAAAGTGGGAGGGGGAGAGTGGATGGGGGTTGCAAGTGTGAAGACTGGTGGAAGAGCAACAGGATGACAGAGAGATGGAGAGTGAAAAGCAGAGGAAGGAAAGGATTAGGCAGATGAGGATGAGTACAGAAAGAGTGGCAGCATGCTGCAGGCCTGAGATGAGGGAGATGACACTGGAGTGCTGGCTTCTGCCGCTGCCGGTGTTGGGGGTGGGTAAGTAGATGTGTGAACAACCTGTCGTGGCCTAACTATTCTTTTTCCTCCCTCTCTATCTGGCAGAACTGCTCTTCAGAGTGCATGAACAAGGCTCAAATGGAACCTGAGTAGAAAAAACGGGGAGAGAAGAGGAGGGAGGGGAGGGAGAAAATCAATTTTCCCAGACAGACAGAGGAGGGCTGTTCTAATGGAGGTCTAAGAGAGGAGGAGGCGAAAGAGAGGACATATTTTTCTCTGATTACCTCTTGGAGCCTCTCTGGCAAACCTTCAAAGCTAGCATCGCTGCAACGGCCTTGCTCATCCGACCTTTTCGGAGAAGTTACGGAGCCTGCATTGAAGCAGCAATCAGCCTACCAGCCTTGTAGCTTTAAAAATCCCAACATACCAAATTACTGATTTCAACCAAATGGCAAGCGAACAAAGTGACCTGATAGGCTTTGGACTCCAAGGGAAACTTATCATCATGAGCATGAGCAATAAGAGCTCTTTAATTTAACGTATTTAAATTCCAAGCATCAGTGGAACGTTTCAAAGGTACATCAAGCCAATTTCTTCTTCTTTCAATCTCCATCCTGCCCTTTGTGGACGTTATGTAACCTGCTATCACAGCTTTGGGAAGGGGGGGCTGTATTAAATGGATAAATATTTCTATTTGGTTGAGATGAATCATTTATGAAGTATAAAAGAAGGAAATTTGTCATTAGGGTCTCTGACAAATGAAGGGGGGAATCTGGAGTAGCCCTGTTTTATTTCATACAACGAGGTCACTATGTTCAATTTGGAGTGGACATGTGCACCATCAACTTTTGCTGATATAATCAAAACAAATATCCCCCTAAGAATTATCCATCACCGACCTTAAGAAAACAATACAATAGCTCAAAAATTCAAAAATGTTGGCTATGCTGTGTTAAAACGTTCCAGTTAGAATTAGTGTACCTGCTCCACATGGTTTTGTTGTTTGTTAAAGTAGCATTTAGCACAAGGGCAGAGTGGACCAAACAGTTTTGCAAGTTTTGAAACAGAGTTTGAAAGTTACCCCAAGACCTTTCCTGACATTCTGTACGCAAGTATACACAAATGCTGGTGTATTATAAAACAAAAACCAGTCAGTTACTCCTTTACTCAAGTACAAAAAGGCTCTGAAATGAACTTAAGTAAAAAGACCAGCAGCCACAACGGTGAGGGAACAGCAAGTTAGCCAGCATCAAATTAGAAGATACAGAAAAAAACAACTTCAATTTAAAATGTCTGACTTGAGTCAGACGATCACATCATTTTGTGATTTTCTAAGGTCTTGTAAAAAGCTCTCAGATGAGGGAGTTATGAGTAGGGAGTAGTGTTAAAAAAATTATGATAATATTATATGATATTATATTATAACGTATCAGTTGACAGAAAAATAACCTCCAAATGCACAGTTCAATGTCCTGTACGTCAGTTTAATTTCAAGAACTAGCAAATTTGATCAGCAACACCTGCAAAAACAAAAACAAACGACTACGCCACGTGCATTCACATCAGCAGTCCGTAACTCTGCTGAAAAAAACGTGGAGCCAAACTTCTGCTGTCATTAACAGTGCTACTATTATTTCTGCAATGGGGAAAGTGGTATAAGCTTGAAAAGTCATTAACCGTCGGTGGTGGCAAGCAGTAACCAAGCGTCTGTGGGTCTGTCTGTCTGTTACTGTGTTTTTCTGTCACTCCTCGTCTCTCCTGTTCCCTCTTTGTGTTTTTCTTTCTCTCGGCCTGTGGAGGTCAAAGTGGCTTCCATGGTAACGGCACACTCTGTTTATGCCACCATGTCTCACTTCATCAGAAGCTGTTGATGGCTTTGATTTGCATGTGTGCCCGTGCATGTGTGTGTGTGTGTTCTGCAAAACCTAAGACACACACACCCTCACCCACACACATCATTTTTCTACACTGCGCGGAATGTTGAATCTTTATTCCAACTTCACTACATAAAAAGGTATGAAGGTGGGATTCAGAGGTGTTTCAGTGATGCAGACTCCGTTACTGTCATCACACTTCACAGTCAGCAAACTACCAAAGCTGCAATATGCTGGATTTGTTACAGAGTAAACATGAAAAGATGCCACAATCATCAACTTCTTAACTGGCTGGTGTTAAAAGTATCTATAAACATTATCATCCATAAAAACATATGTGAATATTGGAAGCATATTTATCTTTTTAAAAAACACAAGATCATCTTAAGCTCATTTGAGTCTGTTTGCATAACTAGGAAGCTGTACACGGTGAGATGCTACAAAAAAAAAAAGTTCAACGTTTGCTTTTATCTCCTTGAAACTGCCATATGGGGGTTTACCTTTCAGAAACCTCAAACAATGCCATAAAAGAGGAAATTGGCACTTTAGCTGTTAAGATTAAAAAATGTAAATTTAATCACACTCATTTCCTCGCTCTGTGAGCTGATCCCGTGCACTTAACCACTTAAATTAGCCGCAGAAACAATGATTATGACTTCTTTTCACCAAAACCAGTCGCCCCCAATTAGTGGAGTATATAGGAGAGGGGGGATGTAGGGGAGAAGGGTGTGGGAGCAGAGGAGGGAGGGCCCTGCAAGCCGGACCCCCTGCAGGGCAGAGAGGGGGGAAAAATGGATTCCATACCAGGAAATCCATTAGGGCAGGGAACGGTGTGGGGCTGGAGACACACGGAGTGGCCATCGTGTTTTTAAAAATTCCTCATTAGGTGTAATTTCTAAATTACCGCCAGCGTGCACAGAATGAGAAGACGAGGATCTGACCAACTCATCAGGATAATCAGAGTAATAGTATGATTCGCTGTGAGCCGATGTGTGTGTGTGGAGACAGCAGAGATGAAAACCAAAGAGAGCAGAGGAGGATGGAGGGTGAATTTAAATGCTGCTGCTGCTGGACACAGACTTTAGGATGTTTTTCCTGCCTTGTTTTTCTTTAACCCTTTTCCTACTTTTTTTTTTCTACACAACTAACTGATCTCGATAATTGCAGAGGGGGTTGGGCGGCTAGCGCAACAAGCTAATAGGAAGCAGGAGTCTTTGTGAGGGGCAGAGAGTCTGAATGAGACAGTGATGGAAAAATTGGCAAAAGTGAGGCGTGCTTGGTGGGAGGGAGGGAGGGAGTGACAGCAGAAAAAAGGTGGAGGGGAGAGAAGAGAGGGTGGAGGAGAGGAGACAGCGAGCTGAGGGGCCTCTGTGAGGGAGAGAGGGAGAGAGAGAGGGGGAAGCTTTGCAGGAGGGGAGGAGGGAGAAGAGGTTAATTTGCACATATTAGAGAGGGCAGGATTTTTCATTAAAAAGAGATTGAAGTTGATATATGCCTGTGCGCTCCTGACACACTGTACACTCTCATTGTGTTAAGTCATTGACAGAACATAGGATTGCCCCCACTCCCCTCTTTACCTTTATCTCCAATATTCATCATAGATGAGAGATGTAGCTACATTTGCAGCTAAGTCCAATGAAGGGAGACAGTCAGAGAGTCTAACTCAAACTAGACTTTTTAAAAACATCTTAGGATGCTGAAATTATAACACAAACGTTGACAAAACTGGACAAACAAACTGGTTTGTTTAGTTGAGAGTGAACTCCAGGTCCAGTGACACAGCATTTCTGGACATATTGGCTGTTTTCTGTAGAATTCCTACATTAATTGCAGTAACCTAAAATAAATAAAAGTATTTCTATGTGATGATGTTCAAATAACCAACTGTAGGTATTTAGGGTAGTTAAGGTACTTCAAGCAGGATTCTTTTTTAATTGGAGCTAATTGTTCTAATTTAAAGGCCAATAAATATGTGTGACTTTTGATTTTTGTTTATTTAGCATCTCAATAAAACAAGGTGCTAACAGGCAATAACATCAATTTAAATTTCCTTCAGGCGTCCAGAAGTATTTGATAAAAATCTGTACTGACCACTGGGATGATGCAGTTGCTGGTTTCCAGTCATCACTGGCTGATGTGTCTGCCTGAGGCGATGGTGGAACTGCAGCAGGAAAAAGAAAAGGAATTAATAACAACTCTGATCTGTTTGTCAGAGACATGCAACTGGTAAAAAGACTGCATCTTCGTTCTTCTTTTTCTGCCCCTCTCCCCTTCTTTTTTATCTTGTTTTCCTCTAGGCCACATCTGTCATTCCAGGCTGGAGGCTTATACATGATCTTTGACCTTAGTTAGCGCAGCCCTTGAGACCAGTTTTGCACATACATAAATACAAGGCAGCTCACACAGAGCAGCAGATATTGATTGCTGATAGATAGAGTCAGGCTGCCCTGATAAGAGGGCCATATTTGATGTCTGGTGTGTCAATCCAGAGAAAGGCAGGCAGAGATTAAATCACAGCGAAGAGGGCGCCCTGTCCTTGGGTTCGTCCCCACTGCAGGCAGTTTTTGTGACTTTACACGTTGAGCTTAAAGGATGACGGGTGATGGAATGAAGACAAGGTCCTGTAATGTTCTTCAAAATGCTCACACAAAAGCAAAGGTTTTCGACATGTCTGATCCATGAAGGGCAGTTTGGGTTGTTTTTTTTTCCTCCTTTGGTCAAATCTTTGATTTTCTCTCCTGAACCTCGTAATCAGTCAACCAAACACATCCAGACTCTTATGGCTACATTTGGCTACATTTATTTTATCTTACAATTTATTTGTGGTGATAAAGGCAAGTTCTGTTCTGAGCTTACTGTTTTGGTTTGTTTTTTGTCTTATCTCGCTTTTAGATGTTTCTATATTTTTGTTGTGCTAACTTTTTGTTTTTTCTAACCTTTTAAATTTTTTGATAACGGTCGTATTTTTTCATTGTCCAATTGTCATGGCTATCTGTAAGCTTTTTTAGTCTGCTAACTTATAGCTTATTATTTGATCACCATTTAGCCATTTTGGCTACCTTTGAGATCCTAATAAAACCTAAATTGTCTTTATCCATTTTGTGATAGCCTTTGCTAATGTTTAGCAACATCTGGTCTCCATTTAAGTAGTGTTTTGGTTCTTCTTGCAATATTTAGTCTGTTGTTTTTGTTTTCTGTAAGGGATTTTTAAAAAGGTTTAATTAACTACTTTATGCACACTTTTTACGCTAGCTTTTATCAGTTGTTAGAGTAAGTTGCTCAAAGTTATAACTCTCTAGCGACATTAGCGGCTAACCTTTCCGTTTTGTTCAAATTACCGTTGTTGTTTTGTTTTTTTTTGGTGTTTTTTTTAAAGGACTTTAAGCTCTAGATGACCTCCCTGTTATTTTCCAATGTCATGGCTACTTTTTAGGCTAATCACTATTTTCTAATCTTTGGTATTATAAATTTTACTAATTTGCAACGTCTTTTTTTTGCAAAACTTTATCTATTATGGTAAGAATGTCAAGGCCGTTCCAGCACACACTCCCCAATCATTTCTGCGCCTTTTATAAACATAGAGAGAGAAAGAGAAAAAGAGAGAAAGAGCACTTCATATGTCCTTCAATTTGGGATTTTTTTTTTAAATTTCTCTCCTTCAAAAACCACTCCAAAAGTAGTAACAGCAGTTATTGGGAACAAGTAAACACAAGGACCCACTTAGCTACTTGTCTTTAATCCACTCTATGTTTATGTTTAAAGCAGTATTTAATTGGGGTTGTAGGCTACGTTAGACTAACAAAGAAATATAGTTTTCAGCTGCAGCCCTTCAAAATAAAACGATTCAATAAGAAAAGCAAAAGCAGCACAAACTCAGGAGTTTTTCTTTTTTCTTTTTACAACTAAGATGAGAAATATTTCATATTTTATTACTTCAGTGTAACAGTACTGTGACGAAAATATTATTAGGTATTAATACTTAACAAGATAATGTGAGAGATGAAAAATCTCATCTTAATTTATACAGATGGACATTTTAAATAATTTCTGAGGCAACTTCAACAAATCCTTTATCTACAAACCATATTTTCCTAACAACCTTTGACCTTTTCTGTGCTGATGTTAAACCATATTTTGCTAATAGTTTAGCTCTTAGCACTACTTCAGACTCTGTGTTTTCCAATGGACAACATGGTTTAATATTACTTATTTTGTCTATCACAAACACACACACACACACACACTTAAAATGAGTGTAGTATTTCGACTATATTATACACACACGAAATGTATGTAATGCTACAGTTACGCCTATAAAACACATTTATCATATTTTGATTATATTCTCATATTCTCTTTAACATATTTTATAATTGTAAAGTAATTAAAATTAAAAGGTATAATGTTGGTTATAATTTTTTCTTAATTTAAAATATGTGACATCACAATACAATGTGTGAAGAACTGTTCACACATGAAATCACTTGAGGTCACCTACACTCTAAATTCATACATGGCTTTATTTTGCACTTGACTGAAATTTTTCCAGCCGTGGCCTTTTTTAACTCTAATTTTGTACAGTATATCGACCATCGCTCTACATCATCCCTGCAACACAGTGTTAAAGGTCTGGTTATTGCTTTTATGTGTGTGTAAAATGACAGTGAACCTCAGCTCTGCCAATGCACTGACCTGAGTGTCCTTTTTACATATGAGCAGAGGCAGAGCCTAAATCCCTGGTCGGGGGAAAGCAGTGTGTGTTCCTATGAAAGGCTGTATATGTTGGCCAGTGTGTGCGCGGTCTCAAGGGTTGGGAGATTATGTCGACAAAAGGTGCACCTGGTGCTTTAGATTGAGTTTCTCTCCTCCCTTTATCCCTCCTCCATCCCCCTCTCTGCTTCTTCTCTGGCCATTTCCAACATTACCCTGGGACTTTTAAAAGATTAGACCACAGCCTTTAGAATTCTGCCTCTAATGCATGTCAGCATTTGGAATTAAGAAACTAATGGATAATGCTACTCTGCAATGTTAAAAAATCCCTTACAGTGATGAGAATGCCTGCTCGCTGTAGTCGGATGAGTTTGTGTACAGTCAGTGAAAAAACAGTGAATTCACAACAACAAAAACAACAACAACAAAACAGGGTCAGGAGAATAATGTTAGGAAGTGGAGGAGTAGGAAGTGGACTGGGCCACAGAAAATATTTTTGTAAATACCAATAAGTAAAGGTTCTTCTTTGTATACTAATATGTTTTTTATTTAATAAAAAATGGGAGACTCGTGTTATTGCTAATATTTCAAGTAAGTTTTTCAAAGTAAGTTTATAACAAGAATCTGTGGGTGGTCTTCTGGCACAGGACACAGGGATATATATATATATATATATAGAGAGAGAGAGAGAGAGAGAGAGAGAGAGAGAGAGAGAGAGATATATATATAGTGAGCCCACTAAGCAGGAAGTGGAACATTCCAACCCTCACTAACTCTGATAGGACTTACTTATTATCATGGACTATTTTGGGACAGAGTACCAGTCCAGTACTTGCAATCAGATTCTATGAAAACACACAGATTTCCTGGAACTATCTCTTATGCATGGTAAACTATTCATTTTCTAGTGAATACACATGCATTAATATCATAAGAAGGTAAAAACACTCACTTTTCTGAATCCATCACTTTCGTCCTCTGATGATTTATAGAGTCACGACTCTGAAAAAACATTGAGACAGAGTTAAATTTGTGTGTACAATTTCTATTGGCAAAAATGTAACAAAACCATTTTTACGTAAATGTTTTCCAAGTCAGGTTACAAGTGTGAATGGTTGATTCAAGAATATTTGTGACACATTACAGTTAATGTAAACAATAGAGTGTGACACTGTGACCAGTACTCAGCCATAAAAGCTACTATATTTCTTGCCTAACAGAGTCAGTCGTTAAAGGAAATACAATTGATTTAGGTGACATTTTGAAAATGGACCCTTTTTTTATTTGGTTTTTAGAGCCAGTGCATCCCTGGGCAACTTACTAAATGATTGGTTCTGCCCCTGGTGTCTACCTAAACCCAAAAAACAAACACCAATAAAAAATAAACAAAAAACTCACAGTCATCAAACTGACTGACTCTACACCAGTCGTCAGTGTTGATGCAACAAGTACAATGGCACAAATCTCTGTTTCTCACTGCAGTCGCATACAATTCTGTGCCTCCTGTATTTGTGAAGAAAGAAACTGAATCAGCTGTGTGTATTTCAGAGTGGGGCACGCACACACATACACACACAGACACTAGCCATCTCCTCTAGCCCTGAGGTCTCCAGTCTGCATAATAAATGAGGTTTGTTGATAGGTGGAAGAAAAAAGGAGGGGGTCTCTCTCAAACACACACACACACGCAGAAATCTGCCCGTACCATTATGCAGCCTGGGTATATACCATTTAACAGCTGTTGTGGTTGAGGAAATCCCAGCTCTCTTTTCATGCCTGTTGTTCGCTCATTTATTGTGATTTTCAGCATCCAGCTTCAACTGCTCCTCCAACACTTTTCGCACCAAGAAATGGCCACAGCTCTCAGGCACTGTGGTATTTGTTAGTGTGAAATCCTCTCTTTCTGTGAACCGCCACAGTGTTCTACTCTCACCTGACAAAAAGTAAAAAATAAAAATAAAAAAAATAAAAAGGGGCTAAAATTAATCACACGCCTCCACTCCATCATTTTAAATGTAATTATCACACGTGAACACACTCTCACTTATTCACACACACTCACACACAGATTCATGGAATTCCTACAACCTGCCATCATCACCCAGGCTTGGACTTATTTATTAATACAGACCTCTGACCGAGCTCACCATTTGAAAGTAATTATCAGTAATGATCCGCTGGTGACTGATCTATTTTTACCTGATGATCAGAGCAGATCTCATCTCAGATCTATATCCTGTCACATTCATTATTTCCCCACAAGATTATACATTCATCTCTGCCAGCGCCACCTGTCCCTGCAGTGCTACACCATTCTTCACCCACGCTGGCCCCCTTTATTGTGATGGCAAATATAGGAAATACAGGGAGAATTGCAATGTAGGTGCGATACAAGGGAAATTAATCATGAAACATCCTGGTTTTATGCAATTTTTCTCTGTTATTTTATTCCCATATAACTACATACTCTATAAACCATAGTTTTTCTGGTTTATTTGGCTAAATGTATAAAGGTATTTATTTTGGGGGGGTCAAAACGCACACTAAAACTGAGTTACATGCCATATGGAAGCCACAAGATGCCAATTGTGCAGAGAAAGCAGGTTCTTTTCAAAGAGTTTTAATTGAGTTTATACATAATTTAGCAGCCTGCATTTGTGCCTGGGTGATGTGGCTTTCCTGCAGTTGGCTGTTGTGGTGAATAGTCTTCAGAAGAGTAGACTGGAGGTCGTCTGAACAGACAGCAAATCATTTATTTTACTGAGTGCTGATGTGCGGGCATTAAAACACTATTACTACTTGTTTTGTTTGTTTGTTTGTTTGTTTGTTTACATTAAAATGTATTGAAAAGGTCATAAAATTGGTTACATTTGTTCCCGATTAGAACAATAATATCTAAAATTACATAAGCGTAATCTTTTATATCGATTTGGTTTAAATAAAGAAGAATGCCAGTGGAATGGAGGACAAAGCAACCGGAAGAGGCTGGATTGCTAACTGTGCTGTCCGTTTATTACGTTGAACGTTACACGTGTGCTTTAATAAATAATATATATTTTTAATTATATATATATATATATATAAAAGGTTTAAACATGTGTCACTAATTTAACATAAACCTGTATGGTTTCGAGCAGCCTCTCCAGTCGCTTTTTGCCCTGCTGCAAAGCTGCATTTCCCCCTTTCAAAGGGGAAAAGCAGACGGGGGGGAAATGGTTTAAAAACAGACTATTAAACCGCCTCCTATATTAACTGTCACTAAAAGGTCCACTGGATAAATTAATTTAGACTGTTTTTTTTATAAAATACTCGCGAGTCGTTTTTCGGAGGTACGTTGCTCATACCGGGAGTAGCGGGGCGGAGACAGTTCTCTAACCCAGTAGCGTGTCGCTGTTCCCGGCAGGAGATCGAAGAAGGAGCCGCTGAGACCCGGAGCGAGCAAGCGAGCGAGCGAGCACGTGTACGTCCAGCTCTGCGTCATATGAAGCACGTTTATAATTCAAATACAATTCAAATACTTAAAATCACTAGTTATTTGCGCACAAATGTACGAATATTTTAAGGTAACTGTTTTTCATTTTAAATTCGTTATTTTTTGTTCCTTGTAGCTCTATCACTGATTTCATGATTTTGAGACAAACTTTAAAGACAGGAAGGCAGTAGTCATGGATACGTACATGAATACATGGACATTATAAAGAATAGACGCCGCGTCCACCGCTCCTGTCCATTGGCGTAAACGAGCCGCGGAGCCGCCATCTTTGCCCGGTTGACCGCTACACTCAGTATACTGTAAGCTGTTTGCGGTCGCAATTAAGTATCAGCGCATTTATTAAATCACAACTCGCTGAAAACGAATCTGATTTTTACGGGGAATTTTTTTTTTTTACATGAAGCTATAATACTTAACAACGGTTCGCGTTTTTCTATGTTTATAATGGGCTTAACAGTATTAGAATATTCTTATATATACAGTGATGCATATGGTGGCAGTAATCTAGTTATTTTAATAAGTTGAAAAATGAAGAAACAATATATGATAAAGAGATAAAAAAGATAAAAAGGATGAGAGAGAGAGATCTTTAGGGAAATCACGCCACCTTCTCTTAATTCCTTTTATATAATTAATATTAATAATAATATAAATATAGGTAAAATTAATATATATAATGTAATAGGTATTTGACTTGTAAATACATATATAAATGTATTTATAATAAATATTACATATTATGGGTACCTCTTTATTATAGTGCTCACAGATCTCCCTTGTGTCTTTGCTGTCTGCTGACCGGTCCAAGATGGTGGCCGTATTTCTTGCGCCCGAGCAGCCAATGCGATGTCCACTCTTTATTATGTCTCTGGATAAATAAATAGAGGAAAAAAGAAAATAAAACACGGTCAGGAGGAGAGGCAAATAGATGAAGTTGGTTTTGAATTATGACAGTCAGACAGACAGACAGACAGATAGACAGACAGACAGACAGACAGATAGACAGATAGATAGATAGACAGATAGACAGACAGATAGATAGATAGATAGATAGATAGATAGATAGATAGATAGATAGATAGATAGATAGATAGATAGATAGATAGATAGATAGATAGATTAATGGTTTGGTGTTGATTCCCGTTAGTGCAGATGCTTCATAGAAACTGTTACATGTCATTCATCATGGACACTTTGTATGTGTATGTGTGAGGGGGATGGGGAGGGGGGGTCATTTAGCAGAAGAATACAGGCTGTCCTGCAATGAAGAGGGATGAGGATGAATCCTGCTGCTTCTCCTCACCACCATTAGCCAACAGGAGAGAGACCTGTGGGGGAGGGGGCGGGGAGTGTTGGGGGGCACACAAAAACTCTTCAGCTGTCTCCCTCTCCACTCTCCCCTTGCACACTTTCTCCTCCTTCTCTCCCCGTGTGCCAGATCTGGTTCCACTCGGCACCGGATCAGGGCCCCTGGCAGCTGACTGCAGGTTCCTGGCCAGACTTAAACCTCGTAATAGCACTCACTCTGTGATGATTTACACTGCATTACTGTACATGAACACGCGAGCCTCCCTGCCTCCTGCACCTAATGGTTTATTACAACAGAGTCTTTCTCCTCGTTCTGCTCTCCCTCTCCGGCTCTTTAAGGCCAAGGTCTAATTAAATAATTTAACTGAATTACCAAACATATGTGAAAACCTGTGTAGGAATTACTTATGGCAGTTAACTAGTTTTATGGTTTCGCTCTGATCTCTACTTGGCCGGGACACAGTGTCTGCTACAGAGGAATATATGAATTTTTAATCCTGCACAAACAGAAGAAAGCATTTCTTCCCTTTGTTTCCCAGAATCCCAGAATTTGCCTTCATGAAGAAATACTAAACAGCCAATTTCTAAGATAAAACATAAAATCACAAGTCCGTTCCTGCAAGAATAAATCAAACATTACTGCAAACTACAACAGAACATTTGATAAAACTTTGTGTCAAATGATTTCAAGCTGTGTCATTTGTGTGTTGTTTTTTTTTTCTAATGCAATCAGGACAAACCAAATTTAATTCTAAATCAAATTAAGTTCAACTTTGTGGTCTTTCTTCTTTCACTGGTTTTATTCTGTGTTTCCTCTCCAGCCTGCAGGAGAAGCTGCGTCTGGAAGCCAAAGGAAATAGAACGTTTACATGGTTTTGTCCAGTCAGAGCCACACAGCAGCCCACACAGCATTCCTCAGTGACAGCAGCTCAGCCCATATCTGCCCTACATTTGTCTAATCATCCAGGGCTTAACCCTGCTCTGTGTGTGTGTGCGACAGAGAGGAGGAGAGATTGACTGTCTTTTAACACCAGAGTTTAGTAATCCTTTGACTTTTTGATCAGGCACCTGGCCTGGCAGCACACAGGGGTCCTTCATCAGCTAGTAAGCTCTCTGACCCCCAGGGAGGGATTCTGGGGGACTGTGATCGATGATGGACACAGTGGCTCATCCCTATCTCCTTGTGTGTGTGTGTTTAAAAGATTGTGAGAAAATCATGTCAGACCTTCAATAATCTAGCCTGATGTCTTCAAAAAGTCAAAAAATATCTGCTCCGTGACAGGAAAACCAAATACAAATCAAATTGATGCCAGTTAAATTTTATGACACCTACAAACATAAACACCTACTTAAAGTTATTGTTCTTATAATTGTTCTTGCTCGTGAACTAGGGGTCCTTTGAGTTTTCTCTAAGCAGGGATTATAATCTTATAACCACTTCCACACTACTATCCTGCTCCAGGTGCCTGTCATTGAAACACAATTAAAGGAGAAATACAACAGTTCTAACCCTTTGCATGATGCTGTTCGCTTCTCAGTGTCCTCAAAATATTATCACAAGTGCTCTGCAATATGAACTGCTTCCGTGTTGTGTGCGGAGTTCCATTTGGGGAATTACAAAAAAACAAAAAACAATATGACAACTTGGTCGGTGCTGGATCTAATTATTTAGTTTTACCCACTGACAGTTCAAGGTGACCTTCAACCACATTAATGTCCCAGATCAACTCCCAGAGTTCTTCCTTTAAAGTTAAGAGTAATGGGCTTCTAGGGACCATGTGTGTCCTCATAATTATAGAAAAACATGTTTTTACATGGTCAGTGCTCCTGCCATTATGTGTGGCTCTAAGGGTGGAGGGTTTCAAAGAGGAAGGCCCAGGGTGGATGGTGTTTAAACAGCCACACTTTGACTGACAGCTCTGATAGCGAGTGGAGGTGGGTGGGGGTACGCAAGAGCCTGGTGAAAGAGAGTGGAAGAGAAGGGGGTTGTGTTGTTTAAATGCAGGCTAGAAAAAGAGAGAAAGAGAGAGAGAGAGAGAGAGTGTTTTAGGCAGGGGGGACTGAGGACTCCTGGAGGGGGAGGTGAGTGAAGTTTTGGGGGAGCAGGGGTTCAGGAGGAAAGTGAGCTTTTAATTACCAGGGCAGGAGCAGATGTAGCAGAATCAGACCCCCACTTCTGAACACACACACACACACACACACACCAATGTCCCATGGCAGCTGGAAGTCATCAGTTTTGCTGTGCACATGTGTGTGTGTGCATGTGTGAACACACAGTTTGAATTTTAAGATGCTCAGCTTCCGTTGGCACCTCTCAGCTTTATGATTATTCATTTTTGTTCCTATTGTGACTGAATAAATCCCATTCTGCCACTGCTATCTCTTCAGTCAATCGACAGTGTAATTAATGCCATGTAATTCAGAGGAAGTAAATCGCCTCACCGTTAATATTCAGCGTATTAATTGTTAAACTTACAGCACAAAAAATGTAATTAACTCCATCTAAAAATACTCTTCCCTTTATTCTAAAGCAAAACAACCCATTGTTAGTGAAATCGATTCAGAATAACATTGTACTATACTAATATCATCTGACACAAATGTGTATTCATTTATTAAACTCCTATATTTAGAATGGCATGTCAGAAGTGTTTGGTGCATAATAAGGAAAAATATATAATTCAATACCAGGCAGCCGATTAAAGACATTTTTTCAACAAACATATCAGCGCTTGATATAAAAGTTAGGTCATGTATTTTGAGGAAAGTTGGTTAAATCAAATATAAATATATACGCCAAGAAAAAGCCAAATTTTAAGAGAACCAATAAGGAATATTAAATTGAATAACTGCAGAAGGGAATCAATCTAAAGCCATGTATCCATGGAAGAGGTCAAAAAAGGTTATGCAATAAAATAAAATAAAAAAGCAAATAAACGTGTTAACAAAAAAGAAAATAAATGGATACAAATCTGGTAAAAAATAAATTGTAAGTTGACAAAACTGAAAAAAAAACTTAGGCTACATTTGTTTTTGAAAGAGAAAGAAAACTACTAAAATATGTAACAACACCACCATTACTTAATCCAGAGTTTATTTTGGTATTTTTTCAAATACAATGTTAGCTTCCTTCCCCTTTGCCCTCCCATCTGACCACCCTTCCCATTATTATCCTCCACTGGTACAAAACTGACCCAAACAAACATGTGCACAGATGACAACAGGGTGCCCAGTATAAATCAGTATAAAATGACTTTTTTTTCTTATCATTTAAATGGTGCAAAACATAAAAAAGGAGAAATCCACAATGTCCCTGCACATAGAAAAATAAATTAATACTTTGTGTGTCCAGTCAATGTTAATCTTTTTTTATTTTTATGTTTTATATAGTCTGGTCCTTGAGATTCACTCACTCACACACACATGCCCACACTTGTGCGCACGCTCTCTCTGTCTCTCTCTCACTCACTCACACACACAAACTCACACACCCAAACTGAGGCTTAATTTGCTTTCCTTCACACCCGTGCAGCGAGTCACAAATCACATATGTACAACCACCGACAGCCAATGGGAAAAAAACCCAAAAATCTATGTACACTGACTGAGGTAGAAACTGCGCCACTGAATGTCCCCCACCTGCTGACACGTTTCCACCACCACAACAAACCTCTATGTACAAACACACACCCACTCTCTCCTCCACCTCTCCATCGACAACCACCTACCGACACTTGACACAGAAGTCAGTATAAAGGCTTTTACAAGATCAAAAAAAAAAAAAAACAGAAGACAAAACTTTACACAGTAGTACAAAATGATGTCACACTGCAAACACCAGTGGGCCTTTAAAATAGATCCTCTGAGGCCTGTTGTTATACAAACACACTACTAATAAATTAATTTTAAAAAAAAGCACAACAGGACTTGGCTTTGACAGAAGAGATGCAGCAGATTCATCGTTTCCTGGTTTTATTAGAGTGCACGCACTTCAGTCTGAAATGAGTGTTTCACTTTTTTCTTTTTTAAATAAATCACCGCAGCGTTTTTAGTAGTCACTGAGTGACAGGTAAAGAGGAGACAAATCCCACCGTCACACCTTGGCCTCAGGCACTTGGGCTTAGACCCCGAACGGCTGGTCCTGACATTTTCTTTTACAAAATCGACCACTCGTGTGTCTGCCTTTTAGGTCCTGATATGCTGGTCCTGCTTAAGAGGTAGGTGCAGCAGGGGGGCTCAGCCAGAAAGGTGAAATACATTAAAAAGAAATCAACCAGCTGCACTGTGTTTTCACGCCCCTGAGTTGAGCCCCCCCCCCATTTGTGGCCCAGAGACGCGGCAGTGGAACGCAAGGCTTCTGTTCTGCGGTGACCGCACTGAGGCTTGGCTCACTGTGTGAGTGGGAACGATGCAGCCGGAGACACGAGGAGAGGAGAGGGAGACAGACAGAGGGAGAGAGAGAGGCAGCGGTAAGAACATGTGGAGATTTTTTTTTTTTTTTTTAAACAAGCTTCTCACTAAATATTCCCCTGGAGACCACTGTAGAGACAGATGTCAAACTTACATCTGCTACTGTTACATCTTGTGGTGGAGGGAGCTGCAGTTTTTATTTCTCCCCCTATGTATTAATGTATTAGGAGCTATTTTTTCCTCTTTTTTCATATTTGTAGTTCTGCCTGTTTTAGCTTGTGTGCTGAGTGCACAACTCTGGTTTAGCTGAGGCCCCTGAGAGCTAGAGAGAAAGAGAAAAAAAGAGAGAAAGAGAGAGAGAGAGGGAGGGAGAGGGGGGGTGTAGATCCGATGAAGTAAAAAGATAAATAAGAAAACAGGAGAATAAAAAACACGTGAAAATAAGGTAGAAAAATGAGAAAGACAAATGAAAAGTTCAGTGATGAAATGATGTAAAATATTTATACAACACTGTTAGAGTTGCTGTTTCTAAGTTAAAGATGCAGTGGCATTCAAATTTAGTCATATCTAAAAGTCCAAATCTCTTTGGTGGAGAAATGCCTGTGTCTAAAGTTAATCACATACAGGACAATCCTGCCAGTTTAACTGAGAGCCTCAGTCCACAGCAAAAGACAATGTCTGCAATGTTAGAAAAACAACTCCCCCCCCCCCACTATGATCAGGAGCAGATATTTAAAGAATCAATAGAATCATTGATAGCAGTACAGATAAGGTGCAGCAGTGACATCACACAGAACTGGATGTCTCCCAGTGTCTCAGACTAACCACGGATCAAGTCCAGCTGTTGTAGCAGGATTTCTGGTCCACTCAATAATAACATTTTAGTTTGTCATCCTAATTTAGTTTTAAACACATATTAATCTTAATAGAGAACTTGCATTCTAACAGGTTGTGTAAACATGTATGTATGTATACAATGAGATGTAGAGAAAAGAAAAAAAGAAATAAGATGAAGAAAGATTAAAGAGTGAAAGAACTCACAAAATGACCATAAAGAAATTTAAATGTGTTCATATGGAACTTGTTGTTTCAGCAGTGAAAAAACAAACAAACAAAAAAAAAAAAAAAAAAACAACAACCTGAAGCAGCGCTACAAAAAGTCTAAAACTGAATGGAAATAAATAAATTCACACTAAAATGTAAAAATGTGACCTGAAAGAGCTGTAAAATTAAGTAGACTGTGATTCCACATGACAAGTGACCCAAAAATGTTCAGTTTTTGTCTTTTGGTGTCACTGATGAGTTGGAGACGGATCATTCTGCTGCTGCTGGATAACAAAGTTGACCAACAAGTTGATCTCCCCAAAAATCTGCATATTTATTAAAAAAAAAACACAAACAAAAAAAGCAGCGTCAGCCATCATGTCTTCTCCTGTCCTTTGATGCCCATCGTCTTCTCAGCCAGCCGTGGCTTCTGTGACCCAGGGGTGTCAGCGTGTGCGTGCTGCAGAGCCAGGAAAGGATTGGCTGTGATGGTTCCCTGATTCTGGTTCTGGGCGGTGGGCAGCAGGTTGTTGATAGGGAGCTGGGAGGAGGAAAGAGGGATGGAGGAAATCTGAACAGAGGAGGAAAGAGACTGCAGCTGCTGGAGGTCCTGATGCTGCTGCATCAGCTGGTACAGCAGCACCTGCTGCTGCTCCTGAGGGAGACGCAGAGGGGGAGGGAAGCAATGGATAAAATGACATGTTTTACACAGGAGACGGGGGAAGAGGAGGAAGAAAAGCGAGGAGTGGTTGAGATGCGATGGGATCAAGGGAGAGGACGCAAGGAAGGAGGAGCAGAAAAAAGGTGCAGTAATGTGGGATGAAAAAGAGAAGAGAAGGAGAATTAATGAGTTAAGATTGTGGATTTAGGTTGTGCATGTGTGTGTGTCTGTCAGTGTGTGTATGAGAATGCCGTACCGCTGATGGCTGCGAGGACAGCAGCTGCTGCAGCTGATGCTGCTGGAGGAGGAGGCGCTGCTGCTCAGACAGGAGGCCGAGCCGTGCAACACTGAGACGAAACAAAAAAAAAAATCATACGTCACAAAACAGTCAGTCTGATTTTCATCCTCTGCACGAAAAATTACACAGACAACACAAACACACACATCTTCACAAGCACAGCTACAACGGCAGTGACAGTGACCACAGTCTCACCTGTTTTTACTGGTGGCTGAGCTGCAAGAATCCAACACATGAGCACAAAAGGGAAGAAGAAGAACAAGGACCAAATAAAGGACACTTTCAAAGATCGTCAACAACAAGGACAAGCAGAGAAATGTTCAAGGCTACACACAACACACGTCTGACAATTCATCTGCAAACTCATCATCTGGTGCTTCAAGAACAGCTTTCACATGTGTCTGGAACATGTCTCACCTGTTACTGACTGTAGCAACTCCTGTAGTGTGAGGGCTGCCGACAGCAGCAGATGGCGCCTGTATAACACCGTTCAGCGTCCCGACGATTCCCCCCATGCCCAACGCACTGCCTGTGCCCAGTGCACCCATCAGCCCCGCCACCCCGCCTAACCCTCCAGGGGCCGTCCCCACTGATGGAACACCGTTGAGCTGTGGCTGCGGAGGGCTCTGGGAGACGGAGGGAGGGGTGGAGAGAGAGGAGGTGGAGCCACTGCTGCTGTGGCCCCCACATGACGTAGTGTCCTGGGGAAAAACAGAACGACGAAATATTTTTTCTAACTTTTACAAAATAATTTCAGAAGAATTTGATTAAAAAACATTCCTTTATGTCCTTGTCATTTACACATAAAGTATAAAAGTAACAGTCTTAGTTCCCAAGTACCTGAGCTGCAACAGGTAATGATGAGTCTGTGGCTCCTTTCACATCTGCAAAAACATAATGAACACATTGACTTCATATTAATCTTCTAAAGGTATTTCCATCACATATCTGCACACTCTGAGTCTGGATCTGCTGCAGAAGTCTAGCAAATTGTGTCTATACAAAAAACACATTTTTCCTTGATGTCCTTTAAGAGTCAAATCTACTCCAAAGAAATCCAAAGTTAAAGACATCATCATTTACCACCTTGAATCCAAACAGTGTGTCTGAACATACCAGAGGAGGCGGTGGAGGGGGTGAAGGGCACTGACAGCTGAGCACTGAGGAGCTGCAGTCGCTCTTTTTTCATACTCAGAGATTTGATCTGGTCCTCCAACCTCCTGTTCTCCTCCTGCAGCTGGTGGAGGGACTTCAACATCCCCACCACTGAGACAAGGGACGGTAAAAGAAAGACAGAGTTTGAGTGACTTGGATGAGGTCAGAGTCAGATGATGTAAAAAACAAAACAAAAACATAATCAGTCAGAGAGAAGGACATGATTGTTCTGACTTTGAGAAGGGACCAAAAATAAGACTGTGCACCTCTGCTCAGACTCTCCACAGAGCCAGTGACTGATTAGACAGATATACTCTACAGGAGGGATCAGAGGTCAAGATCAGCTCCAGAGCATCGACCCTGGAGCCTGTACAGACACAAACCAGAGCTCAAGGACAACTCCAGTCAGGAGGAGGATTCACAGATGCAGAAGATCCAAGACCTGAATCTTCTGGTCTTTCTAATAACTTTCAACGCAGACTATTGATCCCTGAAGGAACGGTGAGATGGGAAGATAACTGATCCACATCAGGACAAGTGGCCTGTAGGTGAGAGGGGCAGAACGTGGAGCTGGACGCTGAGGATTGAAGGACTGACACTAGATAACAACGACAATAACAGGTTATAATAACAATGTTTCTAAGTATTGAACTCAAGAGCACCTTTTAGAACAAATGACAAACTACTGGCACAAAATCCCAGAGAATAGAAATATTCTACTTCAGAACTCGGACCGATTAGCTCATAAATCAATACTTAGTTCTTGTTACCTAGTGAATCTCGGGAGGACGTACATAAAAATAAGAGTTCAGATCTGCCAAGTATTTACACAGTTTACAGTGTGTCCGGTTGACAAACGGAGTTCTGATTGGTCCGTGTCACCCTTCGTTTCTATGTTCATGAAGAAATCAGTGCTGATCAGTCTTTCTTTTTTTTTTCTAGCCTGGATTTTATTACTTGAATATTGCCTCAATAAATCTTCTCATTGTCATTTCAAATAACTTCATAATCAGTGGTCTTCGACCTTCAAAAGAATAAGGTTGTTGACTGGGCCTTTGACTCAACTGTGTTGAGCCCAAAAATGTAAGACTGCTGTTTAATATTTTTAAGGCCAAATTATCCAGGCCTCAGTATGTGGGCACTGAATATTTATGGCCAGGTTTTTGTAAATGGCTCCAAAATGTGTCTCCAATCAGAAAACACATGTTTCCACTAGACTTGATTATGTGACAACCACTGACATAAGAGACTAAATGACTGGATTTGTAGATTGAAAACAAGCAAAAACCAGGCAAGAACACAGGGACTTCAGTGGAGCCTGAGTGAGAGTGCTAGAATGTTTGGCATGTTGATCGCCATACATCACTTTTACTGTGGATGTAGTCGGATCCGGCATAAGCCTCATGTGAGTCGACTACACTGCTGTTTACATGAGGTGATTATGGGAGTAATGCAAGTATAAACAAATACTCCAGCAGTCAAACTTGTGCCACTCAGACATTGTCAAATTCTGTTTCAAATCTGTATAAACCACAATCGTCTCATCAGGTTGTTCCTCATTTAAAATTAAAAATTTGTCTACTGTCTATGTTCAGAGTGAGTGACACAGCAGCATGAAGAGGACACTGTGCTGTGTGTGTGTGTGTCGCCGCAGAGTTAGAAACGAGGCTGTTTTTGTTTCAGAGTCAGGCTGAAACACTGTGTCAACCTTGTTGAAGTGTGTCTTTAACTGAGTTTCCACTCACCGTCTCCCTGTCCTCCCTGCTGCAGCAGGAAGCTCTGGCCTTCATTCCACTGCCGCTCTAAGAGCTGCTCAATGCTGGTGGCCACGGGGAGCAGCGTCTCGCCTCCGCCTCCTCCTCCTGCACCACTGCCGCCGCTGGCTCCTCCAGCCCCTAGCAACCCCAGACCC